CTGAAAAATCGAGACAAAAAACAACTGGTTTTCACGAAATTATCACGGAATCGAGTAGTTCGATGGCGAAACCAATCTTAAATGTTTCGTAATACAACTGCGAGAAATAACACGTCGAGTGCGCTACATCTATAGCAGGGGGCAAGAAAAGGCCCGCTATCTGAGGCGTCTACTTTCCAGAAACGTATATAATCTAGAAAAAATTTCTCTGGCGTTTAAAAATTTGTCGGAAGACAAAGAGAGCGGACATCGGTGCTTTCACCGATTCACGGTTTTCGATTTTGCTCTACAGCAGTGCTCGGAATTAGTTGAACATTTCAGCCGATTTCTGCGATATACGCCTGTTTTCCTCTCTTTACCGCGTGCGCCGCAGCCGCTAGGACCAACGCCGCCGAGCGTTAGGAGCGGCACTATCTGATTATGAGTAAGTTCTCCCTATTTATTAAAATTAAAAAAAAATTTATTAAAATTTATCAAAAATAATTTTTATTTTAATTATTAATGGAAATATTTCAATAGATTTCCACGTCACTCATGAGATACTAATGCTGATGCGTTTTTTGAAAAGTGGTTTCTATCTACATTATTGCATCAATTGTTCATTCTCATAAAAGGCCAAGAAAATCTAATTAAGAAAATCTTTTTTATATATATTTTTTTTTTTAAATTAAGAATTTGTTATTTTTATCTTTAGTGGAATAGGCCTACGGGAGAAACCACTTTTTAAAAAACGCGTCGGCATTAGTACCTCATGGGTGACGTGGAAATTTATTGAAATATTTTCCACTTTAATAAATTTAAAAAATAAAAAAATTTATTTTTTAAATAAATTTTAATAAATTTTTTTAAATTTTAATAAATAGGGAGAAGAACTCACTCATAATCAGATAGTGCCGCTCCTAACGCTCGGCGGCGCTGGTCCTAGCGGCTGCGGCGCGCGCGGTAAGGGAGGAAAGAAGGCGTATACCGCGGAAATCGGCTGAAATGTTCAACTAATTCCGAGCACTGCTCTACAGACAAATTTCTTTGCGCGTTACGC